CTTTAAATACGTGTTTGCCATTTTGCAAAGAATAAATGAATTAATCACTATCCAAGGTAATGGAGCGCCGAAGGCGCGACCATAGCTAGTATATGGATAAAAGTTGTCCATGATACCCTCCAAATTTATGCCTGGAGAAAAGAACCGCCCTAAGAAAAATGGATTTCCATCCTCATCATTTAAATGGTCCAAGCCTAATATCAGCTAGGACCACTCCTTTAAAAAAAATTGGTGATTGAATATGAAGACATTTATTCTAACGATGCCTCTAACGCCTCCTGATGAAGCACAGAAGGCAACGATTAGGAATTTTCTTTCCCTTCGTCCCCCTCCTTTATCAGAGCCCATTAATGACCCCCCCCCCTTCCTCCTTCATCATTGCATTTATTAAACGAAATAAAAATGAAAAATGGAAATATCAACATGATCCTCTTTGCGGCGATAAAACCTACGCAAAGCCAGAGGGAAGGGGAGAAAAGAAGGGGTTTGTTTTTCAAATTGCCAATGTTGCCGCCTTAATGAACCTCCTCCCCCTCCAGTGACGACAAAATGGACATATCACGGTACCGATATCGAAGCACCGCAATACTCTCTCGAACGGAAAATCAAGCAGTCGTAAATCAGGTTGGAGCGGGATGAGAAGGAAAGGAGCCATTTCTGTTGATGGAGCTCAAGATTTGTGGATGCGTAGGAATATGAAACGTCGAGGGGAGAAGGAAATGGGAGTCCCCCCCCCCCCCATCTCCTCGAGATGAGCTCAAGAGCCCAGACAGTACTACTATTTCATGCTACTACTTCCATGCATGGATTAGTTTAACGTAATGGAGCGTCTGATGAACATCCAGGGGAATGAATGAGCAAAGAAACGAGCTTAAGATTCCCTTCATTCCCTTCAAGATTCGAAGTCTTACTTTTTAAAGAGCATTACCTTGACAATAACATGAGAGAGCATTAGAGAAAAGAAAAGGATGCAGTCTAAACATTCGTCCAGGTTTAGCGAATGTAACAAGCTTTTTGTCTTGCTGATCTCGTGAGAATCCGTTGTTTCCTTAAATATCCTTTAACCTATGGATATCCTTCATCCCTTGTATGTCCTTTAACCTGTAGACCGTGCTCGATCTGCTTTTGCGCCACACACCAGCGGGGACTTCTACCCAAACCATGATCCATTTCGCCCAAGGGGTGAATGCCAAGAAATTCCAGCATTTCGACTGGGGAAGAGCGAAGAACATGCAGTTCTACGGCCAAAAGGAACCTCCCGAGTACGACTTGTCAAAGGTCGTCACACCCACGTTCCTCTATTGGGGAAAGGACGACTGGCTGGCCAATCCCACAGTACGTTCATCGTCGTTTATCTCTAATATTTCCTGAATTAAAATTGTATATACTTTTTCTTCGATTAAAAAAAATAATATTTTCTCAGGACGTGGAGTGGTTATCGAACCGATTACCGGCGTCGAGCCTGATCGGTTGTTATCCAGCGAACTTCAGCGCTTGGAATCATCTGGACTTCCTCTACGGCGAGGATGCCAAGAATTTCGTCTATGACAAAATCCTTTCCATGATGAAACTATTCCAGAAATAGAAAGTACTTCCCGGCTTGGAATTGTACATACAGAATCCGTAAATATTATTTTTCAATGTCATTGAACCGGTACTTTCATGTTTTTCCTATGATAAAACTAATGGAACTTCTCTGTTCATATCTGAAAAAAAAAATTGTGTACATGAAGTTGTCCTCACTATTCTGTTTGAAGGCAGATGTCTCAGGGGCTAGAATAAAATGTTTATTCTTTGTTATCTGTAAAAGGGAAAATTTCATTTTTTTATGAAAATCGCATGGAAGATTTTTTTTTAGTATTTTCACAATACCTGCTTCCCTTTAAGAGCCTCATTACCTACAAGGGGGGTCGACTAGACCCTTCTCAGATCTGCGCCGAAACGCGTTTTTGTGGTGTAAGGCTCGGAATGAAGGGCATGCTGTGTTGTGACGGTGGCGAAGCGAACTGTGGCACGGGAAATAGTGCAAAATAGTTATATCGCGAAATTAGGAACCGAAGGAATACACCGGGAAAAAAATCCTCCTTTGGGAGGATTTTTTTGGGGAATTCGACGTCCGACCATCTCACATTTGATCGAAGCTGCCATGAAAATCCTTTTTCACTTCGTTCATGACGATCCCTGTTCATTTTCCCTCTTCAGGTGTATCCGTCTAAAAGACGTTTTCCACATTGGTTTCCAACCTAATCGAAACTGCTTCGACCAGATACTGGCCCTCACCACCTATACTGAAGCGGGATTCTAGCATCGACTTGAAATAGAACCGCATTTGTGGATCTTTCTGTGGCATATGACACCATTTGGAGACGTGGAATACTGCTATAGGGTGCTCGGGTCATACCCTGTAAAGCTATCATACGCTTCCTCGCACGAGTGCTTTCGAACCGCAGGTTTTGCGTAACCCTCGGTCACCAGGTGAGCAAGCCAAGAATCCTGAACCATGGCTTGCCGAAGGGGTCAACTTTGGCACCCAGCATAATTTGCGAATCTTGGTCCAACGCTCCCCTACCGAACAAATATAAACTTTTCTATGATCTCGGACCCTTCCACCCAGCCACCCGGCTTCGCCCTACCACGCAAGACCTGGACTTCCCTAAATAGACTTCGAACATCCTACGGCCGATGCAGTTATCTCCTCCACAAATGGAAGAGGAAAGAAGATCCGAGCTGCGACCGTGGCTCCAATCGACAGACCATGGACCATCTCACCCATTCTTGTTCAAAAAGACCTGCTCCAGGAGGGATCACAGATATCCACAAAGCTTCACCTAAAGCCACCAATTGAATATTCACCTGGACGTAAACATTTAACGGCGTTGCTATCCGGATACGAAAGAAGTCTCTGGAAGGTTTCAAGGTCCTAATAGTCAATGGATACTGACATTTGATAACTTATTTCACAATTGAGTACTTGTGAATACTCCTTCCTTCTCCTCCTTTGTGGACGGGTTTATGAAACAGTGACACGTTTCTTTGGAGATCTTCGATGATTGTTCCCTTTTGGCATCACCCGGGTGAATAGAATTTTTCGCAGCTTCAGTAGCTCCTGAGCACTCATTAGCTTTTGACGAAGGATTTCTACCTCTAAACTATGAGCATTCACGGTCTTCGGTGCGACGATTTTATATCATTGTTTTCATTCTCGAGATGAGGAAACCTGCTGGGCTTCCATTTGTTGAAATAGACTGTCAGAGGTGGCCTCGGAACTAAGGCCAGGTTCTCTGTTGGAATGGCATATTTTTTCCAGTGCCTTAGAGCGTTTCGATCTTGATAGGAATCTAAGGAGAAGGGGTGCAAGCACGTAAAAGGCATCTGGGGATAGACTTTCTTCCAAGCGCTTGAAACTATTCATTTTTTCTGTCTCGACATTTTGGAAATTCATGGATGGAAATATTTTATGCATATCAATTCCTATACGTATTCTTGCAGGATGCAACAATGAAAACCTTGTCACTGTGCTTCATTAGAAATCCTACTAAGAGAGAGAATGAAATTAAGAACCTGAGAATATTATCGAATTCAACAAACAGATCAGTAATGTATGTACAATGCTGCCGGGGTTGGTCTAACAAACATGAATAAATTGTACTAGGACTGTGAGGCGAGAGAAAGAGTGCATGCAACTTATTTTGGCCTTAACTAGCGAGGATATGCGTCTTCAAGGCCAAAGCGCCCCTTTTTTCATAGGGGCACATGCGGAGCTTTCATCTCTCACCTGACCTTCCTTCATTTTTGAGGTCTCTCATTGGCTGAAGGACAGGATGGAGGGGCCCCATAGCGCTGCATGTTTGTACATAAGCGCCCCCCCGGGAGAAGCCTTCAGTCAGTCTCGAGCTTCGTCTCTCCCGTCCAGGTCTCTTCGTTGTTCTTCTAGATCGAAGGATTCCTAGTGAGAAAGGTGAGTGGTATCTATCTAGAATTAGATTTAGCTGGAACGGTTTCCTCTTTGTTTCGGTGAGTCTTGTTGGAGGGCCGAACCGGAGGTTCGTTTAGCCTTTGTGGGACGGAACAATTTATTTCCGAATATTAGTTTTTGTCATCGTGTAAGACACTAATAACGTTCTTCAATATGGAAATATCGAAATTCTCATACCAATATTATTGGGGCATTGCTACTTGTCATGAGGTGGCTTTACTTTTTTGAGCAGCGCAATTCGTTGCTTACTCTCGGGTGGACGATGTTTAGCGCAGAACGCATGCCTCGTGAAAATATGCGAAAGGTAAAAAAAAAAAAAAGCCAAATGTTCTCGGGCCTCAATGTTCCCCAGCGAAACAATACCACTTGGTTCACTCTTATTTCACTGCTTTTTCACCGAATGCTCACCCTCTCTTCGGACCGCTTGGAAAAGAGGGGGAAATATAGGACAAAGGGGATTACTTTGATTTTTATCTATCCTTAAGGACTACGTCGCCCGCAGTATTTCCAGAAGAGATAACATTTCAATCAGATAATAGCAGGTGAAAGCCCCCCCCCCCCCCCCCAGCACCTTCGCCCTGGCTTTTGTAGTCCTTTTGGGACACAGGAACAAAACTATTTCTCATTAGCTCAGTTGCAGTCAAGGGGCAAGTTGATTCCTGTATTAGGTTAAATCCTTCCTGATTTTTTTTCCTTGGTTTTGTGATGGGAATTGATTTCCTTCCCTTCCATGGTATTTTCGAACCGCCTCTGTTATAGATGGAGGGAAAGACGGAGCTTGTAACGCCCAGCACCTTCCTGCAGAAGGATAACAAGTTGAAGACAGGCTTGGCTCGCCTTCATAGCAAGATTAGCACTGCAGTTGGACCAGAGAAGCCCATCGATCTGCTGTTGAGATACGTTGGGTTGGGGGGAAAAACGGAGGTAGCCGGGATGGACATGCCGTATCACCTCCTCGAGGGACTGGGCCTCAAGGAGCTGGAGGAGCTCAGGCGAGATATAGAGGTGTGTGATGGGCCGATTCCAATTTTTTTGGGGGGTGGGGGTTATTTCCATATTGAGGGTGCCGTCTTCCTGGTTCGTGTGTCGCGGAACGAAAACTCCGATGTCCCTGTCTTCGGACAGGGAAGTGGAGTCATGCTGTTAGTCCAGGCTTGAAGGACTTCACAATTATTTTTATTCATATCACATGCGGGATCATGTCAGTGATCTCGAAACAAGCCAGGAATAGTGGCATCTCTTTCCTCCCCTTTGCTTTTGGCCCGTAGTTTGGGATCCCAATTTCCTTAACCTACAAGGGAAATGTCCATTCCCCACTATTTTTACTGCCAGCCAGAAACCAAAAGAGAAACGACGGTAATATTGCTACGTTCAGTCCAGTTTTAATTTTCCAATCATTTCGATGGAAGTCCGAAACATTAAATGTGTTCTCGCGTTGATCTAGAATGCACCTCTGAATGGCAACCTTGAAGCTTCCACTCACGAGATGAATCATCTTCAATTGATGGAAGTAAAAGGAAGCATGGTTAAGAATAGGGACGCGTGTATTCCTTGGTTTTCATGTGTACGGGAGTGCGTTTCATCCCCTTCTCACCATTCCTATTCCAGGTGCGTTTGGATGAACCCTAGGAAATGTCACTCCGATCATCTTCGATGAATTCTCCGAATTGGCACTAAAAACCTTGCAACCTGATTAATCTTAATTATTAGGTTCTAAAAGCTCCAAATATTGTTTAAAAATATTGTGTTGGTGTGCACTTTTTGTTCCGACACCGCGTTCATCCTCAGGTGTACAAGAAGCTCGAGACGAGTGATAAAGGGGAGTTCTGGAAGGACATGGCCATCATAGTGGGGGGTAAGCTGAGGAAGCTGTCAAGGAGCGAACACTCGACTCAAGCGGAAACCCACGTCTCCAATGAGGAATCCCTAATTTCCATGCTCAACGGTATGTTTACCAGGTTACGGAGGGAATGTTCCCTTTTTCCCGTCTTGCCCGAGGTATTTTAAGCCAGAAAATCGAATCTTCAGTTCCCCGGAAGACACAAGATTGCTTCTTTGATGCCGTTGGGTTGGGAAGGGCATTTCACTTGCTGCTACACTACTCGCTCGCACCATCTAAAAAAAACTTTTCCAGTGAACTTTCCATCTTAAGACGAGAGGTATCTAAACCCCAAAGGAAAACTGTCGTTTTCAATTGTTCATCGTTGCTAGTGCTGATGGCCCGAGCTCGACTTTGCGAGAACCACCAGACCAGGGTCAACAAGCTGCAGCAGATGAAAGAGAGAACGACGAATGGCAATGCGTTGAACGGAGAGACGAACGGCTTTCCCTCCCCACCATCTCGCACGGCTCCAAGATCTCCGAATGAAGTCGAAGAGGAAAAAGCTGAAATAAGGTAGGAACCAGTCCAAGTTTTCCGCTCGGAAAGCGTCCTCCAACTTCTGCCATCTTACAGCTTAGGTCGGAAAAATCACATTTTTTCATTGAAATTATTCATCCGCACCAAATAGTCTTTCCTCTGCTCTCGTTACTCTGTTATGTCTCGTGCCATACCCATCACGCTGGCGAAGACTCGAAAGAGGACCAGAGGATATAAACTCATTCCATATTCTTCTGAAATTATTTTTCTATTGCCAATCACCACTCGGACTAGGAATGCTGGAATTATTTTACAGGGCGAGAAAACGTGGTTGGTTGGAAATTCTTAAAGAGCCTTAATGTATGTGCTCGATATGTGCAATGAGGTTTACTTGGTATAAAAACTCATTCGTTACTGTCGCAGATGAGAAATTGCTTTACGAACGGAAACAGCTGAGAATATTTATTGTAGAGAAGCCTGTGAAATTGAAATCAGTGACACGAGTGCAGCGTGCTCAAGAATGAAGTGTGTATCAGCTACTGCTTAATATCTACAGTCTCCTTTCTGTTCCGTGGAAATTACGTGAAGACGGATTATTGACTGCCATTTACGACTTTCTACAGAGCAATGGTACTGGAGCTGATTAACAAGTGCAACAATATCCAGCACGTCGAAGAATCTGCAATGAGAGAGAGTTCGCCAACTGTCGAAAAAGTCGTAAGTTTGTCTTCCTTACTATTCCTATCCTTTTTCATTAGGATTCTTGGCAAATTCAGGGGCTGATTTCTAAGGAAAAGCAAGTAGAAGTGGACGATTGTGATCTTTCCTCGAAGGAAAACACTAATGAATCCGGCAAGTTTTTCCTCCCACAGCCAGATCTGATCGCGAAGCACGGCTACCCCGTGGAGACTCACGGTGACATCAGACGGGTACATGCTAGACATCCACCGGATCCCCCATGGTTCGAGCGGACCCGGCAAGGGACCCCGGATCCCCGTCCTCCTCCAACACGGCCTTCTTTGCTCCTCGGCCGACTGGCTCGTCAGCGGACCCGGAAGGGCACTCGGTTCGTTTTCTCTGTTCGTTTTTTCTTTTTAGAGCTTCTCCGCCGGAGCCACGAAACTTTTGTCCTTGAGTGTTCAAACTGTTGAAAAGGTTGCGGAGACTCTCGTAAGTGTTGCCTAGATTCGTATTGGGAGATCCATTTCATTCATGGTATGGCGGAATCTTTGTCGATAAAAAAAAAAAACTCTGAATGGGTGCACTAGACGATTTGGGTAAGCACCGATTGGTATATTGGTGCGGGGGCCTTGGAGGCAATTTCGCGTCCAAACGAAAGGATTGGGTAGTAACTAGCCTTGCAGATAATTGTAGCACACTGCTGCAGTTTCGGATCGTTCCCTGAAGATATCGTTCTGGATTCGCGTATAATTTCTTGTTCGGAAAATTTCCAGGTTTCATTTTGGCGGATGAAGGATACGATGTTTGGCTCGGAAACGTGAGGGGAAATAGGTACGGTCGACGCCATCGCACCTTGTCCCCCCAAGACGATGCTTTCTGGGCCTTCAGGTATCGCAATGCGGGAGTTGGGAGTGTTTCCTACAGGAGTCTATAGTGGGTGATGCTGTTGTTCTTCAGTTGGCACGAGATGGGAAAATTCGATCTGCCGGCGATCCTGGACGCAATGACAGAGAAGACGGGGCAGGAAAAATTGCTAATGCACCCCGTGTCGTACCCTTGCCACTACAAGACCCAGGAGTCGCTAGTCGCTGGACTTATGTCGACAGCGAAGGACAGGTACGTACCCTACCCCGGGCACCGGTCCCAGCTAGTGTACCGGTCCCACATTGGGATCTTCGCCCCCTTCGTCAATCCAGTGCAGGTCAGATTCCATGGAAATCCCCTCTAACAAAAATGTCCTGTTTAACGCTTTAACCTGCTGTGGTTCATCTACTTTCTATCTAGTTTCGTGAATTTTCGTATCGCACTGGAAACACTACAAAATTTGTTGAGGGTTTTGTGTGTCTGTTTCAGATTTTATGGCCAAAAAGCGACAGTCGACGTGAAATTATAGAATGTCATTTTTACGCATATGAAGTGGTGGAGTTTCATCACTTTTGAAATGACTTCACTCAAATTCTGTCATAAAAATTTTTTCCTTTGCTTTTTTTTCACGCCATGTCCTGGTATTATCTACGCCATGGAATATTACCTTTGTCGTAAGTCTGGTAAGTATTGGAATCTCTACCACGCAGTAGAAGACAACGAGGGCATGGCATTAAGCGTCAAATTGGACCGTTTATTGTAAGGATCACCCAATATATATTTTCTCAGAAATGGACATGATTCGAAGAAATTCTGACCGCAGTGCATTTTGGAGCGGATGGGTCCCAACGAATTCATCCCTCACGAGCTGTGGATGCAAGTCATGAAGTATCTCTGGTTGGAGAAATACCTCTGGCCCTTGAAGGACACGGGAAATAAGTTTTGCAAGAACGTTCTCTTCCTTCTCTGCGGTTTCGATGCCCAGCAATTGGATCAGGTGAGGAATGGGATAATGCCCCCCATCCCCCTCTCCATTGATCATAGCTTTTAGCAAACAGTAAAAGAAACTTAAATTAGAAATATTGCCCTGATCCCCTTTCTGGGGCGAATATTTCATGCAAAATGAATATTTCATCCAGCATGATAATGCTCCATTCTTCTTATCCTTGCATGGATTAGGACGAAAACGGAGGACACGATGAGTATGCTGGGATATGAATAATCGGGAGAATAAGTCGACTATTCTCCGATGTGCTTGATTTTAATGTCTAGAAGAAAGGAAGGATCTTTTGGACGTGCTTGGCTTCAATCATTTCACTCCTATCATATTCCTTCATAGGTCTTGAAAAATCGCAGTTGAATCTAACCTATAGAGATTCCACGCTCTTTCGAAACACAATTCTTTCATGAATATGGCCTAGCCGTGGCTCGGAAGAGTAATTGAGAAATTAAGTTTAAATATTCGGACAGGTTGTGACCATTAAGTAAGAAGTCCTTGTTTTGTCTTGCCAATCGCTTGAGATTTGAGTGTTTCTTTATAGGCCGTGCTTGATGTGCTCCTGTGCCATACGCCAGCGGGGACGTCCGCTCAAAACATCGTCCATTTCGCCCAAGAGGTTTATGCCAAGAAATTCCAGCAATACGACTGGGGAAAGGCGAAGAACTTGAAACGCTACGGCAGTATTGAACCGCCCGAGTACGACTTGTCCAAGGTCATCACACCGACTTTCCTCTATTGGGGAAAGAATGATTCTCTCGCCGATCCCACGGTACGTCCATCGGCGTTTTCTTCCTTTTTATGAGGGTTAATATTTAACCAGTTTTTTTTGGAACTTCTCTGTGTAACTCAGGACGTGGAGTGGTTATCGAACCGATTACCGGCGTCGTGCCTGATCGGTTGTTACCCAGTGGATTTCACGGATTGGAATCATCTGGACTTCCTCTACGGTGAGGATGCCAAGAAACTCGTCTATGACAAGATGCTCAACAAGATGAAACTTAAAATAGATACATAGATGAAAAGAAAATTTGGCGACTTGAATTGTACAAGTTGAATCCGTTGAAACCATTTTAAATATCGTTTTACTGCGTCCCATCTGGAAGCGCGGAAAATTATTTATAGAAGTGAATAGCGTAGTGAGTAGTCCATTCATAAAAAGAGTGAATTTGGTTTCCTGTTTTTTTCCATCAACGGACCATCTCGAAGTACGTAAGATCCTTTCGGAAGAGTTTTACATAATGGGCTAGACGCATTAAGACCAAATTTGGGAGGGGTGTTACACGAGCAGCTCTACCTTGGCATTGCAACTTCTTCCCTTCCCCTCCTTTGAAACGCTAGAACTTTCTGGCTTTCACCTCTTTGGAGAATAATCGAATCCTGGACCCGTTCTCCTGGCGAAGAGCTATGAGAAATCTTATCCCGTCCTGGCTGGCCATCCAAATGGCAGAATAGCGATTAATATTAATCATACCCTTAAGAAGGACAACTTGGCGTCACGAAAGGCTTGGCGTCACGAAAGGAAAGTCAAAGGTAGGCCTATAGCAAAGGAAATACTTCATCCTACCTTTTTTTTCTTCGAATTCATTCGACACTGCTCGGCATATTCACTTGTGAAAACTTAAAACCGTTTTTAGGCCTTGATGAAATTTTCGTGTTTGAAGGATATGCACGCAGCATGAAATATGCAACGCCGGCAGGAATTCAACCGAGACGAAGGTCTCGACGAGCTGCGGCTGACGAGTGGAGTAGGTTTCCAAAGAATCGCATAGATGTCGCCCATGCTGTGGATAGATGTCGCCCGCGGCGAATGCCAGACTCTGATGGCTTCCAATCGAGGAGGGGCTTTCAAAGTGAGTTCCCGCGACCGATCGTCGTCGTCCTTCGAATTCCAAATCGTGACACTTCTTAAACGCATCATTCTTGCTTTTGCGATTCAGCATGCGTGAGGTGGGGCGGGAAAGGGTCTCGTGGAATCTGAGGGGCGAGTTTCTCGTTTAGGCCTATACCGTGTTCCAATGTCACCCTCTGGTCACAGATTAATCGTTAATTAATTTGAAAGGAGGAAAACTCCCCATGGGAGAGCGTCGTCAGATGGTTTTACATCCGCAGGCCTCTTGTCGATGTCATTCTGGCAACGCCAAGTGCCACGTGTTGTTTCGAACGAGAGATTAATGGAACGTTTATACAACGTAGCGTGCGAGGAAACACCCTCATTTCCTCCAGTAATTTGTGGACGTGTGCTTGTGTCTGTTTGAGCTCGAGCAGCCGAACTGCTGCATATTAATTGTTGAAATCTTGTATATGCATTTTCTGTGCCACTTGTGCCAAATCATACTCCGACATACCGTTGCCTTGTTCTTTGCGAAAAGCCTAATTTTGTAACGAAAGAGGTGTCCATTCGCTTCTGCAGACGCCATGGATCCCATTCGATAGAAATCAACCAGTTCAAAGTATCAGTTAAAATAGCCTCGTTCGGTGTACGAAGTCGGAACTGCAGGAATGAGCAGCAAGCTCGTCATCTGCCAGTTACTCGATGAAACTAATTTTCCCACGACAGACGTGGGATGACGCCTCAGTCGCTGCCGCATTTCCTCATCCCCGATGGCAGCGACTGGACCCCTCGAGTCAACCTTTGTGACTCCTGGAAAGCAAAAGGATCCACTTGGCCTTTGATGACGCGCAGAGACATTTCAACATATTTTCATGCAAATTAATTCTAAAAATATACGTCGGAGTGTATTATTAGCCTTTGGCTCGTAACTCCAACGATTAAGTTGCACTTCAGGGTTTCTACTCTACGCATTCTACCCGTCGACCTCTATTTAATGACGGGTGACGTCGGTAGACACGATTTGGATCGCTGCCATAGCCTTTCGTGCTGATTCCTTTCCAGTGTATCCTAAGGTGGGGAGTAATTATTAAAAGCATGCTGTCACAGCCATCGTTTTACTTCTAATTTAAAAGTCGACTTCTGAACATGATTTAATTATTTTCATCGCCTTTTATCGCTGCCTTTTCGTAATTAACTTTTTCCGACTTTTTAGTCGATGAAGGATTGTACCGTACCGTAAACGGTTACTGTGAGGCTGGAGCAACTCAACCGCTGTAACCTTTAAGCTGCTGAGTTTCGTTTCTCCTGACGTTGCTCCCAGCTCTGAATGCTGTTCAGACTCTCACTTTAATGAAAGGTAATTCAATTTGAATTATGCACTCATACCTTTTGTAGTGAAAGTCATGAATTAGTGTGAGATGAACACCGGATTGTCTAACTCGATATTTACACTTACTTGCTACACTACACTACTTACTACATTACTTACTATGCTATGAACTAAGGATGGGACCACCTTGATTTATAGACATTATGACTGATAAATTTCTTAACTCAGAAAAGTGAGATGGAAATATTCTTCTGAAGCACGATTTGGTACCTTCATCTGGAACCAATCAGTGTTTAAATAAATAAAAAAAGATCTACTGATTTTGAATCTCGGTTCGGTTCGAGGATGAAAAATTGGGCATGGGCAGGGCCTTGAGGACAACCATTAAATAAATAAATATTTAAAATATATAAATAACTTCGCATTATATTATCTCAGAGCGCGGAAATTGAATGTTGTAAAACTGTGTCCAGTGATAAAAGCGAAGTTATTCTTGCTTGAAATCGTTTCCCTCGACAGACCACTTCGAAGTAGGTCCAAGACCCTTCCGGGAGAGTTATTCTTGTCGGCGCCAAATGCTCTCGAAAGCCTGCGATCTCTCATGCAGAGATAACGAGCGATTACAGCCGAGCCGAATCGCTCTGCCTTTCTTACGGGATTCTTTGAGATTCTCTGGTCGGACTGGAGGGACGTCAGATGGGATGAAACGAGGAAGGTCGATTGTGTAATTTCTCTGAACCTTTCGCACTATTTTAACTCGTAGGCATCGACAGGGAATGAGGAGAGAAGATTCGAATTTTTTGAATCGGTACGCGGAGCAGGTATATAGTAATTTAATATGGTTCGCTCCGGTTTGCCTAGACGCCCTTCTCCTAGTACTTAATATAATTGGCCTCTGTATCGTTAGTAATGAAGTTGGCCTACATCGTCGAAAAGAGCGCAAAATGAGATTCGCTACCGGACTAGGCCGAAGGTTATTGCCCAACTGGAGATAATCCAATTCGCCCTGCGAGGAACGAGAGCCTGACGGTTTCCCCCTCTTGCCCCCTCCCCCCTCCTCTTGCCCCCTCCGACATGAGGCAATCTTCTAGAGGAAAGTGCTTCCGACGACTGGGAAAAAAAAGGACTGCGTGCTCCTCTCTTATCTCTCGTTTATCTCCCCTTTTCCCCCTTTTTTGCGTGTTCCTCGTCACGGTTGCCTTCCCGCCTTCTGTCTCTTTTCCATTATTCGTTTTGCTAATTACGGACAGCTTGCTCGTTTAGCTATCGTGTACTCTTCGCCAAATAGGAGACACTGCTCGTCGTCTCAGATGAAAAGAACTACAAAGTCCCCTTGAGTACTTTTCGAGTACTTCCAAAGCGCATCCCGACCCGTACTGTCGTCGGAACCGATTCGACGCCTCAACGATCACGTTTTAGTTTTGATTCGCGTCGACCGCGACCAAGGACGAGGAACGACGTCGACACGGATCGGGATCGACATCGACACGGAGGTTGGAAGACAAACCATACAGAGCGATGCGGAAACAACGTCGACGGGATTTGAGTCTGCTCTGAATTTTTTGCGATACCAAATTTTTCTGCAAATCTCCTTCAAGGTCGACATTGATTTTATTTTCATAATTGTTTAAAATATTTAAATAAATATTTACAATTGTAATATTTACCCTTTATATTACTTAATACTCTTCCAGATTGCCTCGCACACAAACACGATCCTCAAAAATTGATCGCAGACAACAGGAGCTAGAACGTTCCATTCCGCGAACGCTCCGGCCGCGCTGCGAACCGTTAGTTGGTGAAGTTCCCGACAGAGCGCGCCAGGCAGCTGCGCCCGTAAAATTTGGTTTTGAAATCGAGATGATTTTGGGTTAATGGCCTCCGAGAAACTCCTTTTCCAAAGGCAGCAGATCGGGATGAGGCGATTGCTAAATAATGCCAATTAGTGAAGCAGGAACGGAAATTGGCACTTCTCCCTTTCCGTAATGAGTCTGTCGATGAGTAGGATGTCGAATGACAAAAAAATTTTATCCAGCGCCAATGGAGTTTCCGCATCCAAGCGATCCGGTGCCATTAAAAAAAAAGTAAAAGAGAGAATCATCATCGCCTTCCCCCCCCCCCCCCCC